AGAAATAATCTATAAATCTTTCTGTAGCAAGTTTGAAAATAGATTTCCTACAATAAAAGTATGAATATCAAAACAATGGATATAAATATCCAAACGACTGCTTTAGTTTTACTTCCCTGCAAATGTTGTATTTACAACTGCAACATTAATTTCCTGCAAATGGTTTATTTACAATTGCAGCATTACTTTCATGAAAATTCTGTATAAACAATTGCAGCATTCCAATCACACCTAATAGGAAAAGATAAAATATTTACCATGAGATCAAGTTGTTGTTTGTATTACAATCTTGGCATTGACACAAAAAACCAAACGGAAGTTTGTTGCAAGTAAGTATTATTTCTTATTGTACAAATATGACTTTCTTTTAGGTCTTGAAATATCTAAGCTAAACAGTTTGCAGGATGTGTTAAATTTTGGCGGTTCTTTTACGGTGCATGTTAGCGGGCGATTCTTGCGTTGCTAACGTGTGCCCCCACCATGATTCTTGATGGGAAAAAAGAAAAGAAGAAGTGGGAGTAAGATCTTTAGTATTGGATTAAGATCTTCGAATTCTAATCTTGTAACTCCTGAGGATCAATCTGATACCAGCTTTGTTGAAGATGATGAAGAATCTGATCTCAATGCTATGGGGTCAACGGGACCAAAGGGGGAGAAATTATGGAAATCTATGGCGGAAATCTTAAACTCTTCAAGCTCCATTGTAAATTCCCTTCCTCTGGTCTCTCCTCCGATGGCTGGGGTTAAATCTCGTTTGCTCTGTAAGTCTCTGCCCTCTGAATCTCATAGATCTGGTAGTTTTTCTTGGGCTGATGCAAATGATTCTGAGGAGTTCCTTTTATCTCAACATCTTTCTGCTAAATCTCCAAGAATCTTGGACTCTAATCTCTTGAATTCAGTATCGGATTCAGAAAAAGTTACGGTTCCTTTAGTTTCTGTTGAGAAAATACCTGGTGAAGTCTCTTCAGATGGACAAAATGAATCAAAGAATGATAATACTAACGGAGTTTTTATGGATTTTCCACCCTTGGAGTCTGGAAAAGTCTTCAAAAATTCAGTCCCTGCTAATAGCAATGCCAAGAAAAGCTGGGTTAGTTTCTTTTCTGACAATAGAAAGCTTGGTTGTGGCCTAGATTTGAATTTTGTACCCCATAATGAAAAAGATACAGTGATTTTTGAGGAGGATAAATGGTATGAAGATGCATCTATTTGGGATTCTGCACTTATTGGTCAAGTACTGGGGATAAATATCAAGTTTAAAGCTATGGAAGCTTTTGTTCAAAAAGTTTGGTCACATTTGGCTTTGCCTGAGATCTGTATTCTTAAACCAGGGCTATTTTTATACAAATTCAAAAGCAAAGAAGATATGATGATTATTCTGGAAAGTGGACCTTGGTTCTTTGGATCTAGACCACTTCTTCTTAAACCCTGGTCGATTGATGAAGAGATAGGTAAAAGAAATGACTGCTTATATCCAATGTGGATTCAGTTACCAGGTCTGAGATTAAACCTGTGGAATGCTAAATGTATTAGTAAAATAGCTAGTCTTATTGGCAGACCTATTACCACTGATAAGCTAACTGCAAGCAGGCAGAGGCTAGAATATGCTAGAGTCCTTGTTGAGGTTAGTGTGCCATCTCCTCTTCCAGATCATATCTCCATTCAGGGACCAAAGGGGAAAAATATTATTCAGAAGGTGATCTATGAATTAAAACCTAGATGGTGTGACTTTTTTAAACAAGTGGGACATGAAACTAACTATTGCAAGAGGTAAACTGGAATACAAAGATGGGTGCCTAAAAGCAAAGTTGTTATCAATGAAAATAAACTTGAGAACAACTTGAACCCACTAGATGAGCATGATATTGCTCAAATAAAGTCTGTTGATAAAGGAAAAGAGATTATCCAATATCTTGAAATAATGGTAACAGTATCAATGATTTCCAGCCTGAAAGGTTTTCTGTGCATATTGTGCATGATGAGAACCTGAATGAGCATAGTAGCAGTATTGTACAGTCTGGTGCAAAACTGACTGAAAAGGAGCCTAACTATATGCAACAAGCTCATGTGGTGCATGTTTTAGGAAATGGAGTTGATATACAACAAATAAGCAGCAAGTCTGGTTTACTGCAGGCTGTGCATGTTGAAGAATGTGCACAGCAATCTGAAACTAGTTCAAAGCAAATAATTGGTTCTGGAAAAAATGTTGATAATTCTTGGATACTTGTTCAAGGGTCCAGAGTTAAAAAAAATGCATCTCCATTATTTTCCAGTTGCTCAGATATTGATCCCTCTGTTATTGGTAAGGGGGGCTATTCTAGATGAATTTATCTTTTTGGAACATTAGGGGGTTGAATAAATCCTCTAAACAGCTCTTGGTTAAAAAAAAATTGTTGCAATATCATCTTTCTTTCATAGCTCTCCTGGAAACCAAAATAAAA